CAAATGTATAGCTTTCTCGAAGTAAAGCCATGGCAGTCTCTGAAGAAAAAGTGTACAAAGATATGATATCTGTGATCTCATGATAAGATGCAACGTTCTGCACTTGACAGTTCTGCTGAATCAACCAGCTGGGCAGCACAATCAATGTGCACAATACATGTTCATGAAAGATGTCAAAGTTTTTCCCTCGAAAGCCAATACTTGGAGACTTTGAAACATATCTTGCAATAGAAATTAGCCGATACAAAGTGTAAGCACATGGCAAATTTTAAGGTATCATGGTAGGTGGATTTTTATGAAAAATGCTAAAAATGTTTTTTTGGCTGTTCAAATTGAGAAGACTGAGATAAACATTTTGCAAAACAAATTGGGGAAAAGGCTTTTTTACTTTTTAAGATAAAGAAAAAAGACTATTTTTGAATATCATTAACCCCTTACAGCAAGTTAACACCTCAAATTAAAATTCACCGCTAGTTGTCACATGTAATGCGAATTGCGGTATGATGTTTCATTTGTGCACGCAAACTGTTATTGATCTGGTTGTTTCATTGCAAGTTAGCTTTCATTCTTGTCAAATTTTCTTTACGTCAGGACGAAAACGCAAGAAAAGTTCTTGCCCATTTTCGTCTTCAAAGAAGCCGAAGAGGCGAAAATCTGGTGGAACCCACAGGTTCAGCGTTGAACAAGATCTTTGGCTCTGAGCGACTGTGGGTGGCACTGTAACCAAGAAGAATGGCTGAAGGAACCCGAGGACACTAGTCCTGCCAGTGAAGCTAAAGGACAAAATACAACAAGTGCTAGTCGCATGAAATTGCTGGAGAATGGACGCGATTCCAAAACTTCCACAACAAGAGAGTCAAGCACAGATGTAGATGTAGACAATGTAGACCTAGAGATTTCCTCTTTTTGGCTTCATGAGGCATGGTTTCAAAAAATATCTGGAGAACGAAGAAGTCTAAACTTAAGCAGCATAATACCAATGCCACTGACTAAATCTTTTAAGAAAAAGAAATCACGGCAGTTTAACTTGTAGTTTGTCGCTTCTTGGACGATTTCACTGTGATGGGTTTCCGTGCCAGAATTGTAGTCGTCTGTTTATTTCAAGTTGTCATAACCCGTTGTTGTGGTAAACTAACCCATGCTGACATCTGTCAGTGCGGACGAGATTTTTAACACCTATTCAAACCAATTTCATAGAAGGTTTTTCGTCTTTTTCTCGATAAAATAAAACTGCATATCAGGATGAACATTTTTAGTTCGTTTACGTGCGTCTTCCAATGGAATTGGCTGAAAATGGGCAGGTATGTTCCAGGATACCTCCTTCGAAAAAGGGTGTCGGGCTTTGCTTAATTTCGCTTCTATTTCAAAGTTATGGCCTCTTTAGTAGAAGGAAACGTCCGCATTGAAAATATCAAAGTTTAGGAGGGTGTAGAAAAAAAAACCAAACCACATCTGGAAAATTGCAGACACCCTTTTTGAGGGTGATGTGTGAGAGAACATTTCCCATGTAAATCGCGCCGCTCCAATAATTCACACACGGAAGCAAACCAGTTTAAGCGATGCAGTGTTTCTGGGTATTTCTTTTAATATTACTACGACCATAACTTTTTAGAAAATTTCAAAGATAGGATTGTATTCTATAACTATGAAGCTTTGAGAAAATGTATAGGTTGATGGGGTTTTCTTTCAAAGCGCCGGCATAAGAGCACGATTTCCAAACTCTGTCAATCCACCTACCATGATACCTTACAAAGAGGTGTCAAATGCTGCGAAGTGACATGTAGATAACAGCGGTAACCATGCAGACTCCCACGAGTATTTGATAGGTGGACTGCATGTACATCCTGTTCACAGACTAGACTCAAATGGCAGCTTCATGCTCCGGTTTTAGATCAATGTGTTTGCTGTTTTGTGAAAGGTCTTTCAACGTTTCCTGAACAGAAAATTCCCCAGACTCAGCCATATGTATTTTGATCTTGTTGTGTTCCAGATTTCGGATTATGTTTGAATGTCAAATTTCTGATGTCACTTTTTGATTGACGGGTTACCAACCAATCAAATTGTACTATTGCTCCCTGTTCCTGGCTGAATGGAGTTCTGTAAAATCTTTAGGATCGACTGCAGGCAATTCCTTTTCTCCCCACCCCCTCCCCACTATATGTAAACAATTAGTGTACAGCCAAGACCTTAATTAATAGTATTTTTTTCAAGTGTATTATTAACAGGTAATCACATGATTACTCAGATTGTGAAATTTGGAATACATTAAGACA